TCTAGAGTCTATCTTTGGAACATTCTAGAATTCTCCAGTTTTGTTAGTTTAGATTTCTCCATCTTCTTGCACCATGTTTTTCTATCTATCCCAGGCTCCGCTGTCCTACAAGTCTAGTTGAATGCATGGGTAGTGGAGCAGGTAAGATCACAAGTAAGGAGATAGACTTCCAGGGTTCACATCTGGTGGCACCACTATGACCCAGACAAGAGTGCCTCTTGATCTGTAAAATGAAGATATATAGCAGTTCACTAGGAGGACTATAGTGAAAATCCAACTGGCTGGGAGATGCAAGAAGAATTAAGGTTCTGAGAATTCAGGCCTGAGAAAGTAGAGACTACAGGAATCAGAACTTGGGGCTCTTAAAACCTCAGATATAAGGACCAATAGAAAAAAAAAAGAAAAAAAAAAGGACCAATAGAGGTACAGGGTGGCTCAGTTGGTTACATGGCCACCTTTGGCTCAGGTCATGATCCTGGGGTCCTGATCTGCTTCTCCCTTTGCCCCTGCTCCTGTGCTCTCTCTCTCTCTCTTGCTCACTCGCTCTCTCTCTCTCTTAAATAAATAAAATCTTAAAAAAAAAAAAAAGAACCTCAGATCCACAAGGAACTCTGTTAAAATATAATAACGAACAATTCTATGCAGCCTCCAGTGCCAGCATCCTGGCAACGAGATGTTCTTTGGGAGGATTTCAGGATTCCCAAATTTCTAAGCCTCTCCTATTCCATGCTGACATCCTCTGGCTCTAAGGAAATGCCAAGGCTGGGCGTGGGGCCCTCCCAGGGCCGGTGCGGGCAGAGGGGTTGTCGGGGCCACCAGGGGGCGCTCCGGGTCACGGCCCGACCCCAGTGGGGCGGGCGGACAGCGCCTGAGCTCAGACCCTGGGAATGCGCTGCGGGCCCGGGCAGGTGCCTCACCTCCCGCGGCAGGGGAGCGGGGAGCGGGGACCGGGCGGGGCACCAGGACGGCGCGGGCCGCGCCCTCCGTTCCCAGGCCCCTGCCGTCCACTTCCAGCTCCCCGCTCCCCCTCCGGAGGGCTCTAGTCCACCACTAGGTACCCTCTAACCCCAGCTCCCATTCCTCCCCTTTCCCTCCACCCCTAACGCTCGTTCCCCGGGACTCGTGCACGCGGCCAGGCCAAGCACTTTCTTGGGGGTTAAGGATCCCGGGGGGCTTCCTGGAGGAATCATCCTCAGTGGGAACTGGGACAGAGCGCCAGGCTAGGCTGGGAATACCCTGGTTAGAATCCTACATTTCTGTCCCGACAGACTGACTCTGGAAGAGACCCCACCCTTTCTGGGACTTGGTTTTCCCCTCTGCCGAGGACTGTGCAACAGGCTAGGGCCTTCCCCTGTCTAAGTCTCTACCCTGGGCTAGTTATATAGCTTCTCCATGCCTCAGTTTCCTCGTGTGTATAAAGGGGAAATTAATACCTTCATCTCCAAAGGGTGTGAGGTTTGAGTGACATAATTTCTGTCCAGTGTTGGGAACGATGTGGGGCACCAAATAAAGTTCACACATACTGGATTCTTAATTACGGACCTTCCCCGGCTGTTCATTAAGATAACATAGGATCTGACACAGCGAGGGCTCAAGACCCGGAGTTATCCCCACCCCTCCACCCCAAGAGCCCTTTCAGCTCTTTCTGAGAGTCTAAAAGCCATGGGTTTTGACCTCTGGAGTCTCAACTTCCTAAGCCCTAAGTTCTTCCTGTACATTAGTGAGCTCTGGCTAGTGGTCATCCCCAAAAATTCAGGCAGAGGGGCATGGGGTGCCTTGGAAGATTCCAGAGAGAAGGTGGCAAAAGCCCAGGGTGTAGGTGTAGGGTGTAGACCTCTGTAGACAGTGGGAACCACCCCATCTACCTACCAGCGCTGAGCCCGGCCCGCTGTGAGCTCTGTCTTGGCAGCCACGCTGGTTATTATTTTTAATTTCATCTCAGGCTATCACCGAATGCCCTTCAAGCCCAGACACTAGGAAGTTCTTCCCTCTCTCATCAGAACCCTTTGCCTCCTCCACGGCCCTGTTCCATCCCCTCACATGACACAGGGGGGTGGAGAGAAGGGGAGACAGAGGGAGGTGCTGGTCCCTGCCCTCCCCCAGCTTCAAGGACAGACACACACCTCCAGATTTAGCCTCTATCCCTCGCTTATCTCCCACACTACCTCAGGTCAGACAGATGGGGGTGGAGGTGACATTTCTCACCTCAGGGTCAGGGCAAGGAGCCCTAGAAGGGAGAAGGTTAGTCAGAAAATCTGGTGGGAATGGATGGAATCCCGTCCCCTGACAGCTGCAGAAGGAAGTGGAAGCCAAACTCTTAACAACTCTGCTATCTGAGAGGGTCACAGAAGATAGGAGCCAAACTCTAATCAACTCTACCTGTGTGACCTCTTAGCCTCCGTTTACCCCCATGCTCCTCTCTGCGTGGTGGCTGTGTAGCACCCAGCCATGCAAGCCTCCCAGAATCCAATCCCACCTTCTGGAATTCTGCCCTGGGTTCTAGAACCCCCTGTGCAAACCCCAAATATTTCCCACCTCCACCGGGTAATGGGACGCCCCCGCCCCCACTAGGGGGCGCCCTGGGGTGGCGGTCCCTCCTCTGGTTAGGCAGGTCTGACGCCCGGGTTAATGATATGTTGGGGATCTCGCAGGCGCACACAGGTTGGAGAGTTGCCCCGGTCCCCCCACACACACCCCTGCCGCCGGCCCTCACCCCAGGGCCGGAAAGTGTAGGGAGCGCCGGAACCCAGCCTCCAGAGGGACCCCGGGGGCTCGTCCTGCTGCATCTCAGGGACCCTAATTCCACTATCCCCATCCCACGCCTAATTCTGCCTCGAGATAGAGGCTCAGTGGAGAAGACAGCTGGAGGGCGGCACACCCTTTCCAGAGACCCACCAGCCCGAGTCTTGTCATTTCTGCCCGGGACTCAGGGATCCGATACCCCCATTCTACTCAAAGACTCGGGCTTCTGGGAGCGCCCAATTGGTGGGACCCAGGAGTCCCAGCTCCAGCGTGTCCCCGGGACCACGGGTCCGAGCCCTCCATCCCAAGAACGCAGGCATCGGAGTCCCCTTTCCTTTTGCCTAGTAAATCTGAGTTCTTTCCTCCGAAGATAAGAACTCATCTGCGCACCCCCAATTCCGCCCTGGGACTGGCGTCCCAGTCCCTTCCCAGTCCTCCCAGGGACGAGATGTCGGCCTCCTCCAGAGCCGCTGGACCCCAGGGGGGCGGGTGGAACTCACGGATCCGGGGCAGATCCTGGCACCGGGGGGACTTCCTCCGGCTCAGGCTCCGGCTGCGGGGAGCCGAGGACGGGGCGGGGCAGGCGCCGGGAACAGGTTAGACGACGTGACTCCGGCAGGAGGGAGGCGGGTCCCAGCGGGGAGGGGGAGTAGGGGTCGCCTCGAGCACCTTGGGACTTGTAGTCCTGGAGGGGCAGTACGCAGCCTGGGACGTTCCCACTGGGAATCACTCAGAGTCCATTTCACAGACAGAAAAGGCGAGGTCCGGAAGCCGAGGGCGACCTGACTCCGTAGATAGAATCCAGACTTTAATCTCGCCATGACAGCGGGAGACAGACTCCCGAGTCCCTGCCCGACCCCTCCAGGCTTCGTTTCCCCCTTCTAGAAAGATTTGGACGCCACCAAAGGAGTAAAAAGGTTAGAGGTTGGGAAGGGACTCACATGCCTCGCCCGTAAGGCGAGAAGAGAGCCTCGCTAAATCAGTATTCGCTCGAGTCTCCGAGCCTCGATCTCCCCGTCGGTGAAAAGGATGGTTGGATCTTTACAGATTTTCCCAGCTACCGAGTCCCGAGTTGTAGGCTGGGACTACAATCCCCAGCAGCTTCCGCGACGGACGTCGGGCGTCTCCCTTCCTCCAGTCGCCTGGGAATTGTAGTTCCGTGCCCGCAGGGGCGGCGCCCTGGAGTCTCGCCCACGCTGGGGGGACTGCCCGGTGATCCCCGGCGGAGGGAACGCGTCCCCTTCCCCCGACCGTCCTTCCGCTCTGGGGAGCTGCTCACACCCTGGGAAAAGGGGACGCCCCGATTCTCGAACAGGATCCGAAATCACGGCAGAGGAGGCGGGCAGTGGCGCTGACACACGCGCCAGGAATGCAGTCGGGTCACCCTGTCTAGCTGCCGTCCCCCGGCTCCGCCCGCCGCCGCGAGCTGTGCGGTCTCCGTGGAAAGGGGCGTGGACGCGACCCCCAAGTCTGCATCCACGTGCCGCTGTTTACACGCGCCCCCCCTAGTCCCCTCCCCCCCGGGAAGAAAGGGCACTGATTGAACTTTCCACTCCCTCTCCCATCCTCAAAGCCTTCGGAAAAGTCCCCCACGCACTAGACTAAGTCCTCGGGGGCGTCTATCGGTCTCCCTCGGTCCACAAACCCCGCCCCATAGCCCGCTCCGCCCCACGCGTGTCTAGCCCGCCCCGTGGCCCACAGGCTCCTCCCTCTGCGTTTCCCGCTCCCAAGGAGTTCACAAGCCCCGCCCCTAGCTGGTATTTCACGCCCTCCGGAGGAACGACCCAGTTTCTCCGTTTTCCCACCTGTCCCACTCAAGTTCCGAATTTCCCAGGCATCCAGGCCGCCCAAGAAGGGATTGTAACACTGAAAGCACGGCCCTGCCTACCTCGACTCTTACCTGTCCCTTTAAGAATCTCAGACCAATCGAGCTTCCTGTCTCTTTAAGAGTTAGGAGCTACCAATGTGGCTGCCCCTTTAAGGCGACGGTGGAGCCAATGATGGCTGAGACTGGGGGGACGCCCGCCGGGACCCGGTGAGGCTCTGACTCCCGCCCAGCAGCCAGTCAGTTGCTCTGGGGAGCAGGTTTTCGGAGAAAGACTTCTTCCTCGGCTGTCTGCTCGGCACAAACGGAGATTCCCCCAGTTGTGCTCGCAGAGCGCGCGGGCTCCGAGGGACACCCCCGCGCTCCTGCACCACATGGGCGCTCCCGGGCGAGGCCCCGCCCCCTGGTTTCACGTGGTCTGCGGCGCGGCTCGAGTGGCTCTGGCGACTGGGGCTGAGGGAGGCACGCGTCCCGGGATGGCGGGGACCCCGGTCGGCGGTGAGTTGCATCGGGGCGGGCCGACGGGGTGCAGGAGTTGGCTCCGGGGAGGAGAAAGGGGCCCCCGGGTGGTGGGTTGGGACGGAAAAAGGGACATCTCGGAGACGGGACTCGCGGAGAGAGTATCTCCCCCCGAGGAAGGGACTTCGGACCGACGGCGGGTACAGGTTAGGGGAAGTACGAAGGGCGCCCCCAGCAGTTGGCTCGGCGGAGACTGGAGTGCCTCTGGGAGACAGGCAGGAGCGAACAGACCGGGTGAGGGGATCGAGGCGCTCAGGGGGCTGGGACCCAGGGGCCGATAGGCGCCCCGGAGGATTGGAGCCGCGGGGCAGTGTCAGCAGACCCCCGTTTCCTCTTCTGCAGGTGCTGCTCCCTTCTCCTGTCCCTCCAACTTTACCGCGACGTCCCCAGCATCAGAACCCACTCGTTTCTCTTTGGAGGCGTTAAAGGACCCAGATACGGAACTGTGGCTTATCCAGGCTCCTGTGGACTTTGTCCCAGACTGGTGAGTGGTCCCAGGCCACCTCCTGGGAATACTACCCCTCACTCCGGTGGCTGAACTTGGCGGGAAGTTTAGAAGGCCTTTTCTGGGATGCCTGCGTGGCTCAGTGGTTAAGCATCTGACTTTGGCCCAGGGCATGATCCTGGGATCCTGGGATGGAGCCCCACCTCGGCTCCTCCATCTCAGCAGGAGTCGGCTTCTCCCTCTCCCTCTCTCAAATGAATAAGTAAAATCTTTTTTTTTTAAATGTCGTTTCTCAGCTCCTTTCCTCCCTTTCACCACAAGAAACTGATGAAACTCTGCCTTCCCCTTTCTCCTTCCAGCCTCAATGGGCGGCTAGTGCCTCTTTCAGGCTCCCAGATTGTGAAGGGCAAGTTGGCAGGCAAGCGGCGCCGCTACCGGGTCCTCAAAAGCAGTGGCCCCCAGGCTGAAGAAGCAATCCTGCTGGCTCCCTCCGAGGAGGCAGCAGGGGGACTCACCTGTGCCCCAGCCCCCCAGGGCAGCCTAAGGATCTTTGATAGTCCCCCAGAACCCTCATCAGGGACCTTGCTGCAGCCCATTCCAGCAAGCCCCCCTCCACAAATCCCCCCTGGCCTGAGGCCTCGGTTCTGTGCCTTTGGAGGTAACCTACCAGTAACAGGGCCTGGATCAGTCTTGACACTGAATTCACCAGCCTCAAGGAAGAGGAAGAAGAAGATGCATATGCCAGGGGCCTCAGTTGCCCAGGAGGCAGTGAATGGGCTTGGGGCCCTGGAGGTGAACACAGTCTTGGGGTCCCCAGATACGGAGGTGGGGAAGAAGAAAAAAAAGCAGGAGCCGAAAGAACTAGAGGTTTTGAAGCCAGCAGCAGCAGAAGCCCCCCCTGAGATGTCGGAACCCCTGGTAGCACCATTCCCGTCTCCCGCCAAGAAGAGGAAAAAGAAGCCCAAAGAGGCAGAAATGGTCAAAACAGAAGAGCAGACACCAGAGCCCGAAGAAAAGACAGTGGAGCTGGAACTCATGGTTAAAACAGAGCCCCTGGAAGAGCCAATCCTGTCCCCTACCCGGAAGAGGAAGAGGCAGAAGGGGACAGAAGGGAGAGAGTCAGGGGAAGGGATACCAGGTGAGTCTCTGCTGCAGCTGAAGGTGGAGCCAGAGGAGGAAGCCATCCCACTGCCTTCCTCAAAGAAGAAGAAAAAGAAGAAAGAAAAGGGATACAAAGTAATGATGGAGCCAGGGACTGAGGCTGCAGAGCCTGAGATGGGACTTCTGGAGCCCCTGGGTGAGATGATGGAGCCTGAGCCACTACAGGAAGCTGGGCTTCAGGCTGAGGCAGCTTTAGTGCCCACCAAAAAGAGGAAGAAGAAAGAAAAATGGCAAAACACGACAGTGGAGATGTTGGAGCTGGGGGCAGAGGTGATGGAGCCTCCGATGGAGCCTAAGTCGCCAGGTGACCCTGAGCCTCACATGGCTCCAGCACCCACCAAAAAGAAGAGGAAAGAACGGGGGCAGAAAGCAATAGAGCCAAGGGCTGAGACGGCTGGCCCACAGGAGGGCTGGGTGGTGGAGCTGGAGGTGCCAGCTGAGGGTGAGCCTGAGGCCAGGGCAGATCCTGCATCCACCAGGAAGAGGAAGAAGCAGGACTGGGGAAGTAGGGTCCCTGAGATCACAACCCAGGAGAAGACGCTGGAGCCATCGCTGGATCTGGGGTCTGTGGAGGTGGCTCCCACAGGACGGGAAAAAAAGCGGAAAAAGCTACAGCAGGGTCCTGTGTAGACTCTTCCAGGGAAACGGCCGCAATTAAGGAAAGCTGGAGGTGACCGCCTGGGCCAGCAGAGTGCAAGAGCAGAGGACCAACCCCCCTCCCAGTGACTGCCCCAGCACGCCAGCAGTAGCCTGGGCCAGGAAAAATGCTTTATTGTTACACTTAGGGCCTCCTCCTTCACAGCTGGGGTCATCAGGGCACTTTCAAGAAGGGCTCGTGTAGGACATCAAACAGCCTCCGGGCCTGGATGAGAGCAAGAGAGAAATGGAACCAGTCATTAAATGAGCCATTTGTTTTCTACATCTGGGGTGGACTTGGGTTCTTTCTCTCTCAGCTCAGAGGGGGCTCTGGGGGCTAGGAGAGAAAGAGCCAGATCTTGATTCCATCCCAGACTGGCTGTGTGAGTTTGGGCTGGTCCCCACCTTCTCTGGGCCTCAGTCTTCCCCATCTGTAGGAGAAGCACTGTGGGCCTTCCAAAACCTCAGAGTTTTGGGATCCGAGGTCCCATTTATTTGGAGCTCCCTCCTGTCCCCAACCCAGCAGGCCCATCCCCATAGCTCTTACCTTCTGGGGCCCCAGGCCTGGACACAAAGCCAGATCTTCCCTCGATGCAGCCATGAGCTGTTCCAGAGACTGAGGAAGATGGGAGTGAGGGGTCAGAGATGGGGAGCACAAAACTAGCATGCCCAGCTGACCAGGGATCTAAGACATCCCTGAAAGGAAGTGAGGTCCTGTGGGAGTGCAGAGGAACCAGGAAGGATGAGGGGAGGGGGAGTTAATTGAAAGGGCAAGGGGGTCAAAATGCCCATTGGGACGAGGGCTTACCCCAAAAGTTGTCAGGAGGGTCTGGCTGTCTGTTTTATTGACTGACTTCACAGTGGTCAGGCATTCAGTCACCTGGAAGGGGAGAAGGAAGCAGAGATGCATCACGAGAAGAAATAACTGCAAGACAAACAACCCCTGTGGTAGCACTGGTCCCCAATGTGTCCCCAGACTGCCCAGAACGCATTCAATAAATGCCTTTTTTTTTTTTTTTAAACTTCAGTTTGGGCACCTGGATGGCTCAGTCGGTTAAGCGTCTGCCTTTGGCTCAGGTCATGGGTGCAGGGTCCTAGGATTGAGCTTTACATGAGCTTCACGTAGGGCTCCCTGCTCAGCAAGGAGTCTGCTTCTCTTCCTCATGCTCATTCTCTTTTCTCTCTCCTTCTCATATAAGCGTGCATGTGCTCAAATAAATCTTTAAAAAATAAAAGTTTGGGTCCCTGGGTAGCTCAGCGGTTTAGCGCCTGCCTTTGGCCCAAGGCATGATCCTGGAGACCCGGGATCAAGTTCCACGTTGGGTGCTCGCTTCGACGGCACATATACTAAAGTTCCACATCAGGCTCCTTTCATGGAGCCTGCTTCTTCCTCTCCCTGTGTCTCTGCCTCTGTGTGTGTGTGTGTGTGTCTCATGAATAAATAAATATCTTAAAAAATAAAAGTTCTCAGAGTGGTCCCCAACTAGGTGAGAGGGTGTCGATCACATAAGATAAATACCATTTCTCTTGAGCTGGTGCTGCCCAGGGGAAGCCCATAGGCTCTGGAGGCAGATCTGAGTCTAAAACCAGGGCCCACTACTTACTCCCTATGAGATAATGGAATTGACCTCTCTGGGCCTCTTTTCAGGCTAATGGGGGCCCTAGGAGCACCCACCTCAGGGGTGGTGGTGGACGTCCACCGTTACTTAGTGGTTGGAGCCCAGGTTACACACTTCATTCAGCCAGTACTCCCTGAGTATCCCTGAGTGCTGCATAGTTCTGAGGACACAGCAGAAACGGAGCCAGCCCCAGCCCAGCCCTCCTGGGGCTCCCAGTCCAGTGTGGAGGACAGATCAGCTCCTGACAGTGGTGACCCACATGGGCAGGGCTGGGATGGGGGACCCCAACAGGGGCACTTGTCAGGGAGGGCTTCCTGGACAAAGAGGTCTCAGAGCTGAGATGTGAAAGATGGAATTAGGCAGATAATTCGGTAGGGGGAACAGAAGGGCACATACTTAGAGGAGTGGGCCAGGTCTGGGAGAAGTGACAGAGATTACAAAGCCAGGGGTGAACAGGGCTGCTGGGCAGAAGAGGCAGGGCCCTATAGAGTGGTGAGCAGCCCGGCTTTCCCTGCAGGTACTGGGGAGCCATGGGAGGGTTTTGAGAGAGGGAGGGCAGAACCAACTTTGTGCTTAGGAAGATCCCTCTAGCTGCCCTTTGGGTGAGAAAGGAGGGAGGGATTGGGGAGAAGAGAGGAGGATTCAGGCACCAGGAAGGAGCTGGGGGGAGGCCAAGGCAGGGAGATGCGGGGGCCTCACCCGGGAGACGAAGTCCTGCTCCAGCTTCTCCATCAGGAGGTCGGCCGGCTTCTGCTCATAGGCTTTGTAAGTCTCCAGGTACCGCCCGGCCTCCTCGGGGCTGGGGTGAGAACATTCGGGTCAGCCAGGGTGAGGGGGTTATGTTTTAGATTCAGATCATGATGCTAACTCTAATGTGAAGAAAAATGATCTCTCCTGCCCTAAATGCCTCCCTGGCAATAACCCCAACCAGGCGCATCTTTGCTGGCTAAGGGGCAGAGCTTGGGAGCCTGAGCCATTGGGTTCAGGTTCCCCCTTCACACCCGAGTGACCCCGGGCCCATGATTTTCTCTCTCTCTCGGGACCTCAGCCTCCGCATCTGTAAAGTGGAGCGGATGGTAGGATTGTGACAATTACACCAGTGCCAGCTCCAAGCGCTCAGAGCCACACCTGACACTCAGAGACCTGTTTAAGAAACATGAGCTATTCTGGAAGGGAAGTGGGTATGTGGAGTTTGAAAGAGAGAAAAACCAAAAACAGTTATTCTCTTCCCAGCCACGGAAGACAAACTCAGGAGGCACTCCGTTCCCACTGAAGGTTTTTAATAGAGCACACCTTCAAGAGAAAGGCTGTGGGTGAGCTGACTGCTGAATCCTTTATAGCGGCAAACGGGATCTAATAATTGCCATTAATTTTCACGTCAGGCACTGGTTTTTCTGACATGTAATGAACTGCTTCAAAGGTAGGTGACACAGCCAAATCTTAAAAAGGGTCTGTGTGCAGAAGAAAGTAACTCAAGAATTTCATCGGCACTGGGAAAAAGCTGGCCTTTTTTTGTGAGCTGTGAGCTGCTCTAGTAAACTAAACCCCAGGAGGGGGCCACTGGAAGTGGGCTGGTCAGAAGTACAAGCCTTTTTTTGTTTGGGGAACTTGTGAGGAGTTAAGTCGAAGTAAATAAAGGATTCAGGTTGAGTATCTTCTTGGCCTTCAGATCCTAGCTAATAAACAATTTTCTAAAGATTTTATTTATTTACTTGAGAGAGAGCAAGCATGAGTAGGGGCATCTTTTTTAAAAAAAAAAAGAGAGGGAAAAGCAGGCTTCTAGCTGAGCAGGGAGCCAGATGTGGGGCTTGATCTCAGGGCCCCAGGATCATGACCTGAGCTGAAGGCAGATGCTTAACCAATGGAGCCACCCAGGCGCCCCATTAGCAATTTTTTTTTTTTTGATTAAGCAATGGTTTATATTCTTGAAAGAAACATTCATTTTTCTAATTGTTTTTTCCCCATTAAATGGGCTTTGTAGCTTTTTACTGCAGCAGGATTATTGTTATGGTTCTTAATAATTTGTTCAAGAGCCCCCCAAGTTAGCACGCTGTGTCCAGTTCTAGAATTTGCTTTCGTTTTTGCACTCTGAGATATAAGCAGATGGCTTTCCATGTCAGCAGAAGGAGCTTGACCTCTTTTAACGGTTGCAAAACATTCCATGATTTGGATGTTAAGCCACAGGAAACATTCCCCTTGTGGGGGTCTAGCTGCATGCCAGGCACTGTTCTAACTCATTAGGCTCAGAAGCTTCCAGAACCCCTCCTCCTCTGAGCAATCCTTTAAGGCACTTATTATTTTCAAACCATTATACAGAGGGGGAAGCAGAGATTAGTGGGGTGGACTCATTTGCCTAAAATCACACAGCTAGCCAGGAGAAGAAATAGCACAGTCACCAAGTTGGGCTCTTAACTTTACATGGCGTGACTTCCCACAAAATAGCGTAATGCTTACGCTTGCTTTTGTTTATTTATTTATTCATTTATTTATTTATTTATGATTTTATTTATTTATTCACGAGAGACAGAGAGGCAGAGACACAGGCAGATGGAGAAGCAGGTTCCATGCAGGGAGCCTGATGTGGGACTCGATCCTGGGACTCCAGGATCATGCCCTGGGCCAAAGGCAGGTACCAAACCGCTGAGCCACTCAGGCATCCCGACTTTTGTTTTAATATACAACTAACACTGGTGTGCCCATCTGGCTCAGTCAGTTGAGTATTCAACTCTTAATCTCTCAGAATCGTGAGTTCAAGGTTGTGACCCAGCCTAGCTGCACAATGGAATGTTACACAGTTGGGAAAGAATGTGCATCCAGACAATGGGATATTATTCAGCAATAAAAAGTGACCTACCAAAGCATGAGAAGGCATGGAGGAACCTTAAAAGCATATTGCCAAGTGAGAGAAGCCAATCTGAAAAGGCTTCTGGGAGGTAAGAGGAAATTTCTATGGTCTCTGCCCCTGGTTCTCGGCACAGAGTTCCTGGAGACCCTTGTAAATTCCTCAGTGATAAGAGCACCAGGAACGTCTTTGTTCTTTTTTTTTTTTTTAAGATTTTATTTATTTGAGAGAGAGAGATAGAGAGAAAGAATGAGGCAGGGGAGGGGAAGAGGGAGAAGCAGACTTTCTGCTGAGCAAGGAGCCCAACATGGGACTCAATCCCAGGACCCCAGGATCACCACCTGAGCTGAAGGCAGATGCTTAACCAATGGAGCTACCCAGGTGCCCTGTGTCTTTGTTCTATTGTGAGGAGATTCTGAGTTGGTTCCGGGAGGGGGAGCTCCGGTTCCAGAGGTTGGCTCTGGTCACCAGAAACTATTAGAAGCTGGGAGGTTCCAGCCCCACCCATTTAGGGACTGGAAATGGTGTTAACAGTTGATCGTGCCATAAAATTCTGATATCAGGGTGTTCAGAGTTTCCAGATGGGCAAACACATGATCATGAGGGAAGGGCACATACCCCCATTCCACAAGAACAGGAGCTCCTGCACTCAGGACCCTCCCAGACCTCTCTTCCTATGTCTCTTGCCATCTTGTTGTTGATTCTGACCTTTTATCATACCCCTTACGAGCTTCCGAGTTCTGTGAGCTGCTCTAGTAAACTAAACCCAAGGAGGGGGCCACTGGAAGTGGGCTGGTCAGAAGTACAAGCTGGGCTGGTGAAGTGGGGGGCAGTCTTGGACTGAGCCCTTCACCGGAGTGACCTGACTCCATCTCCACGGAGACAGTGTCAGAACTGCATTAGATGCTAGCACACCGGGCTGATGTTGCAGAGAACAGCTTGGTGTGGGAAAAAGCTCAACACATCTAGTGGTCAGAAGTATGTTTTGTACCAGTAGTAAAAGCAACACAAGAGGGACGCCTGGGTGGCTCAGTGGCTAAGCATCTGCCTTTGGCTCAGGTTGTAATCCTGAGGTCCTGGGATCGAATCCAGCATTCGGCTCCCCGCAGGGAGCCTGCTTCTCCCTCCACCTATGTCTCTCCCTCTCCCTCTGTGTGTCTCTCATGAATAAATAAATAAAATCTTAAAAAGAGAGAGAGAGAGAAAGTCCCCTTCCTATCACTGCCGACTCCTCACACCCTCCCCAGAGGTCAACACTGTCCAGGACCTGGTGACTCTAACCCTTTCTAGTGTATCCACATACATGTCTGTTCATAAACGCAGCTCCTTTTCCCTCCTTCTGTCTATATATAAAAATATGATGCTGTTTGGTTCTATAACTCTGGCTTTCACCCGCCAATGCTGCAGAGATGGCCCACGTCATCGTGGATGCACATCTGCACACAAGCAGAGCTAATCCTGGTGTAGCTAATCCTGGTCTGCGTTGAAGACGGATGTCTATTTTGTTTTAATAGCCAATCAAGTCTCCCACCAACCAAACATGCAAGTGCCCGTTTCATACTATCCATCTGAGAAGTTTTCACCAAATTTAAGGGTGAAAAATGGACACCTCATTTTTTTTTTAAGATTTTATTTTTTTATTCATGAGAGACACAGAGAGAGGCAGAGACATAGGCAGAGGGAGGAAAAGCAGGCTCCATGCAAGGAGCCCAATGTAGGACTCCATCCCGGGAATACAGTATCACTCCCTGAGCCAAAGGCAAACATTCAACTGCTGAGCCACCCAGGCATCCCTGGACACCTCATTTTTTAAAACATACTTTTTTGGGGGTGCCTTGGTGGCTCAGGTCATGATCCTGGGGTCCTGGGATTGAGCCCCATTTCAGGCTCCCCACTAAGTAGAGAGTCTGCTCCTTCTTCCTTCTCCCTCTGCTCCACCCCACTCGTGCTCTTTCTCAAGTAAATAAAATCCTTAAAAAAATTTTTTAAATAAATAAATAATATTTACTTTTTCCTTGATAAACTATAAGGTTGATATTTTTTTTCATGTGTCTTGGCAACCTCTTATTTGGGCTCTTATTGACTTGTGGGAAGTTTTTTACATACATAAATATATAACTATATTTAAGTATATGCATATAAGTATTAATATTTAAATGTATTTGCACACTGTATAAATATAATTTATACATACACATTTAAAATAGAAATGCTGTCTGTGTATACGTGTCTCTCTATATATAAATATATATTTAATAAATATATAAATATATTTTAAATATATACATTATATATAAAATACATAAATATATATTTTAAATACATAAATATATATTTATATAGAGACACATACACACACACATGTATATATATACACCGACACACAAGTAGTTTTTCATAATTGGTCACTTGTCTTTTAACTTTGTTTACAGTATCTCTAACCACCCAGAAGTTTTAAAATTTAATATCCTCAAATTAGCCAGTCTTTTCCTTTATGGCTCTGGGGTTTTGGGTATTGCTTTAGAAGACTTTTCCTAGGGACGCCTGGGTGGCTCAGTGGTTAAGCATCTGCCTTGAGCTCAGGTCATGATTCCAGGGTCCTGGGATGGAGTCCTACTTCAGGACTCCCTGCTCAGTGGGGAACCTGCTTCACCCTCTGCCCTTCCCCCTACTCATGTTCTCTAATAAATAAATAAATAAATTCTTTTTTTTTTTTAATTTTTTTTTTTTTTTTTTTTTATTTATGATAGTCACAGAGAGAGAGAGAGGCAGAGACACAGGCAGAGGGAGGAGCAGGCTCCATGCACCGGGAGCCCGACATGGGATTCGATCCCGGGTCTCCAGGATCGCGCCCTGGGCCAAAGGCAGGCGCCAAACCGCTGCACCACACAGGGATCCCAATAAATAAATTCTTAAAAAAAAAAAAAAGGAAATTAGCCAATCTAAATAGTCTTTAGAAACCTAGATGTGGAATTAATTATTCAGACAGACTTAATGTCTAACTCATAAGTGCCTAGTATGGTCCCGGCAATTTGATCTATATCACCTGCTTTTGTGACTACAGCGCTCTAAGATATTAAGACCCTATTTTAAAGATGAAGAAATTGAGGCCCAGGGAGGGGCAGTGCCTAGACCAGGGTCGTACAGGAAATTCACGGCTGGAGAAGGCCTGGGGGTGGGCAAAGCATTGGAATGATGCTCAGAGAGAGCCTGACCTGGGCGGGGAGCCTCGGTCTCACCTCCAGGCAAGGACCAGGGTGCAGTCGGCCAGGATGCACATCTTAGCCAGCTCCTTGAGGGGTTGCTGAGGATCTTTCTGGGTAGAACAGAAAAGCAGAATGAGCAATCTGGTCGAAAGCAAGGAATTATAGTCTTGAAAACATAGTAGGTTAGGATGCCAAGAGCCTCCCACTCTACTGACACTCCATAAGCTCTGACTGGGTGCCCACCCGTGGGGACAGTCCAGGCTCTGCCCTCTGGGGCTCACAGTCTGATCTGGTGAATAAGACTGTCCCCATACAGTGATGAGCCAGGACTGGGATAGGAGAGCAGGAGCATCTGAGCTGCCTAGAGAATCAGGGAGAGCTTCCTGGAGGAGGGGACATCTGAACTGAGACCTGAAGGAAGATGAGGAGGAGGGAAGGAAGCAAAGGAGAGCAAAAAGGGAATTTCAGACATAGGGAACAGCTTGTGGAAAGGATGGGAGGGGATAGAGGGCTTGAGGAGTTGCAATTCACACAGCAGGTGATAGAGAATGTGAAGGGGTAACCACACGGAAGCTTAGAAATGAACGTAGAGAGTGGAAAGCGAGGGGGTCACACAGGGCCTCACGAACCACAGAGGGCACTGGGGAGCCATGGAGGGATCTGGACATCAGATCTGTGCTTTAGGGAAACCCTCTGGCTGCTGTAAGGATGGGAGGAGTTGAGGCTGGAGGCCAGGAGACAAGGAGAGAGGCTGGAGCAGGGGCCCAGGCAGGCCAGGCTGTGTGGACAGAGAGGATGACACAGGTTCAAGATACATTTAGGTGACAGAGGACTGGGATCGGCTGAAATGGGACGGAGAAGGAGGAGCCAGATAATTTTACCCTTCTACCCCTTTACCAACACAGGGTGTCCATCTCAGATATGAGAAATGGTTCTCACTAAGGTTTCACCTTGTACTTTCCCTCAGGATTCAACAGTCCACTTGGCTGCTGGGAGGGCCAATGTGCCCCATTTCACAGATGGGGCCAATGAGGCTGGTGGGGAAACAACTGCTGCTTACCACGTCCACCTGGACCAGCAGGACCCGCAGCGCAAAACTCTTCCCCAGGCTCTGCAGCCGCTTGTGGATGTAGTCCGGGTGGAGATTGTGGTAGCGGAGGCTGGGGAATGGAAGACAGGGAGGAGCTGGGAGGTCTTGGTCTCCCTGAGACCCCGAGAACCCTTCTTCACTCTCACTGGATGCAGAGGGCACCGGCAACATAGGGACCTGGGGCTCAGAGAAGTGACTTGCCCCGGTCTCCCATCAAGGAAAGGGCATGGGGGATTGGCAGTCAGGGCTGCCTGGCTCTGGCTCTGGCTCCTTGGAGGGAGGGACCCCTCTTCACTGCAGAAGGGAAGAGACCTGAGCTTTATGCTTAGAGGACAGACTAGACCCTAGAGAGTATGGACGGGGGACACTGGGTCTTGGGAGGCAGGCCATCCCAGGGAATATCTGCTCTGACCTCAAAGGCCACTGGCAGGGAGGGGATGGGGTGGCTTCTCCACCCAGGGAACTCAGGGACATCTCTGCCCAGGAGCTGCCAGCTCTCATACCTTGCAGGGAAGATAGAAACTTACAAGTTTCACTTCCAAAAAAACAAACAAACAAAAAAAGAAGTTTCACTTCCCCCTAGCTGTCTGGAGAGGAGCCCCAGGGAATGGAGGAGCATGCTTAACTGGGATAGAGGTTACAGGAATCTTGGCTCTCATCAACTTGTCCTGGATGCCTAGGACATGGGGGACCCGACCCTCTCCTCCCTTAGACTGAGTATCCTCCTCCAGATTGAGGAGCCCAGGTCCCCAGCCCCTCCTCCCTCAGACCTAGGAGTCCAGGCCTCCAGCCCCCTCATCCCTCAGACCCAGGAGTCCAGGCCCCCAGTCCCTCCTCCCTCAGACCTGGAGTCTGGGCCTGCACCTCTCATTGCTCTGGGCACCTCCAGACTAAGACCCCTTCCTCCCATACTAGGTCCCACCTAGGCCTAGAGCCGACAGGGCCACACCCAAAGGTCTCCCACTGAATAGTCCAAAATACAGAAGCATGCACTCCCAGGCTGTCCTGGATGGTGGGGCAGTCCCTCAGAGCTCACCTGAGGAACAGGGCACAGGTGCTCTGGCCCAGCACATAGTCGGGAAGCACGTCACCAAATTCCCAGGGCACGTTCCGCACAAACTTCAGCACAGGGTTGCCCCTCTGGGGAGGGAGGAAGAGCTGAGGCGATTAACCACGATGGCCCTGGGATCACTGCCATCCCAGGGTGTCTCCCGGCAAAGCCCACCTCCTCAGCCTGAAATGTCCTTGGTGCTCTGGCTCTGATCTAGGCTCCTCCCCCTGGCCCTGGGCCTTAACTAAAGGGTCCCTGAGTCTCCCTCTCCAGCTCAGCCCTCTCCGCTCGCCCCATGTGTGTGTCCTGGGGTTACGGGAACTTCCTCCAGGATGCCTGCCTTGTTGCATCCCGAGTGCCTTCAGCATCAGCCATCACACTTGTCCTCCTCCGGGCCCCACTTCAGGGACAGCCCCACCATCCAGAGACCCCACACTCTGGCCATGGACACATCCGTCTCCCCCTCCTTCTCCAGGAGGAAGATCTAACTCCTAAGCATCCCCATCAATGCCTCCCCATCCACTGCCACAGCCCCTGCCCCTGGCCTCTAGACAGTAGCCATAGGGATCTTCCTAAAGCACAAACCTGCCCTTTGCCTGCTCTCAACCCTGCTGTGGTTCCCAGTGTCCCACGGAAGCCCCATGTGCCCTGCGACCCCTAAACACAGGTCAGGTATGCCCTGCAGCTGAGCAGTCTCCTGCCTCTCACTCCACTCTAAACATAGCTCAAAAAAAATAAAAAATAAAAAATAAATAAACATAGCTCAAGGGGATCCCTGGGTGGCCTAGCGGTTTAGCGCCTGCCTTCAGCCCAGGGCGTGATCCTGGAGTTCCAGGATCAAGTCCACATCAGGCTCCCTGCATTGAGCCTGCTTCTCCCTCTGCCTGTGTATCTGCCTCTCTCTCTCTCTCTCTCTCTCGAATAAATAAATAAATAAAATCTTTAAAAAAAATAAAATAAAAAATAAACATAGCCTAAGACCAAAATTCTCTGAGCAAGCCAGGCTCTAATCCATCGCATCAGTATTTATTGAGTGCCCACTGGGTGTCGTGGTGCTGTGGACATGGCAGGGACCAAGATACAAAGATCCCTGCCTTGCAGGGGACACGACACTAAAGAAAATCACATCACGGATGAGTAAGTAATTATTATGTGAGGTAGGGTGTGGGTGGGGCAGAGCAGCTGGGGTGAGCAGGGTCTGCAGAAGTCCCAAGTCCCACAGGCCATGGGGCCAGTCAGGTGCCTGAAGTGAGGCACCTGGGAGCCAGAAAAGGGCCTTGAAGAAAGGAGGAGCAGGATCCTGTTTTATTTCATTTTATTTTATTTTCTAAAATATTTTATTTAGGGCTCCTGGGTGGTTCAGTGGTTGAGTGGCAGCCTTTGGCTCAGGTTGTGATCCTAGGGTCCTAGGATCAAGTCCTGCATCAGGTTCCCTGCAAGGAGCCTGCTTCTCCCTCTGCCTAGGTCTCTGTCTCTCTCTGTGTCTCTCATGAATAAGTAAATTTAAAAAAAAATTTTATTTATTTGAGAGAGAGAAAGAGGGGCCATGAGTGGGGGGCAGAGGGAGAGGGAGAAGTATGGGCAGCCTGGGTGGCTCAGCAGTTTAGCGCCGCCTTCAGCCTAGGATATGATCCTGGAGACCCAGGATCGAGTCCCACGTCGGGCTTCCTGTGTGGAGCCTGCTTCTCCCTCTGCCTGTGTCTCTGCCTCTCTCTCTCTCTCTCTCTCTCTCTCTCTGTGTGTGTGTCTCTATTAATAAATAAATAAAATCTTAAAGAAGAGAGAGAGAGAGAGAAGTAGACTCTCCACTGAGTGAGGGAGCCTGACCTGGGGCTCAATCCCAGGATCCTGAGACAGGATCCTATTTTCATTTTTAAAGGATTGCTTTGTCCACTTGACACCCACTAGAATGGCTGAAATTAAAAAGGCAGACAAGGACATCTGGCGGAAATGGAACCTCCGCAAGCTGCTGGTAGGAATGTAAAATGATGCTGCATCTAGAAAATGGTTTGGGAGGGGCACCTGGGTGGCTCAGTGAGTTAAGTGTGTGCCTTTGGCTCAGGTCATGATTCCAGGGTCCTGGGGTTGAGCTCCGCGTCAGGCTCTCTACTCAGTGGGGAATCTGCTTCTCCCTCTCTCTGCCACTCCCCCCTTTGTGTTCTCTCTCTCTCAGACAAATACATGAAACCTTAAAAAATTAAAAAAAAGAAAATGGTTTGGGAGCTCCTGCAAAAACTCAATAGTCACCCCACGACCCATTAAGTCCACACCTGCATAAATACCCAGAACTCAAAACCCATGTCTACAAAAAGCCCAAACACAAATGTTCACGCCAGCATCTTTAGAATAACCAACAAGTACAAACAATCCAATGCCTAGCCCATCAGTGGTTGGATGGAGACCACAGCATGGCACCTGCATACAACAAATACTATTCGGCCAGCAATGGGAAGGAAGGAAGCATGGGCACACGCTACCTCGTGCTGAGTGAAAGGCAATAGACATTTGAGTTGCTTGCACTTCTTAACTAATGTGAACAAAGCTGCTGGGACAGTCCGTGCACAGGATTTTGTATGGATGTATGTCTTCATCTCTCCTGCACATATACCTAGACATAGACTTGCTGGGTCATACGGCAACGCTTATGTTTATTTTTTATTTTTTAAAATTTTATCTTTGGGGGGCACCTGGGTGGCTCAGTGGGTTAAAGATCTGACTCTTGGGCAGCCCCGGTGGTGCAGCGGTTTAGCACCGCCTGCAGCCCGGGCTGTGATCCTGGAGACCTGGGATCGAGTCCCATGTCGTACTCCCTGCATGGAGCCTGCTTCTCCCTCTGTCTGTGTCTCTGCCTGTCTCTCTCTCTCAATGAATGAATGAATGAATGAATGAATGAATGAATGAATGAATAAATAAATAAATAAATAAATAAATAAAAAGATCTGACTCTTTGTTTTGGCTCAGGTCATGATCTCAGGGTCTTGGGATCAAGCCACAAGCTGCGCTCCATGCTCAGCGGGGAGCCTGCTTGAGGTGCTCCCTCTCCCTCTGCCCCTCTCCATGCTTGCTCTCTCTCTCAAATAAATAAATAAAATCTTTTTAAAGAATTGTATTTTTTTTTAAGATTTTATTTATTTATTCATGAGAGACACACACAGAAAGAGAGGCAGAGACACAGGCAGAGGGAGAAGCAGGCTCCATATAGGGAGCCTGATGTGGGACTCCATCCCGGGACTCCAGCCAGGATCACGCCCTGGGCTGAAGGCAGGCGCTAAACCGCTGAACCACCCAGGGATCCCCAAGAATTGTATTTTTTAAAGTAATTACAACTAACATGGGGCTCGAACCTACAGCCCTAAGATCAAGAGCTGCATGCTCCATCGACTGAGCCAGCCAGGCACCCAGGTAACTCTATATTAAATGTTTGAGGAACTGCCAGACTGTTTTCCAAAGTGTCTCACCACTGTACATTCCCACCAGCAGCCTTTGAGGGTTCCAATTCCTCCACAGCCTTGAGATCGTCCTTTGGCCTTTTGATTACACCCAACCTAGAGGGTGTAAACTGGCATCTCATCGTGATCTTGATTTGCATTTCCCTGGTAGCTGATAATATTGAGCTTCTTTTCACATTCTTGAGTCCTACTATTATCTCTGTAAGTAGTTGCTTTTCTCCGGAATGGCAGCTCCACCAATGGCAGAGACCTCACCTGCTGCCTTTCCAATTGCTCTATCCCCAGAGCCTAGAACAGCACCGGACAACTTTTGAACATATTTGCGGACTACAAGTGAACAAAACCTTGTTTTAAAGGCACAGATGAGGGACCCCTGGGTGGCTCAATGGTTGGGTGTCTGCCTTCAGCTCAGGGCGTGATCCTGGGGTCCTGGGGTCGAACCCCACGTCGGGCTCCCCATGGGGAGCCTGCTTCTCCCTGTGCCTATTCTCTGCATCTCTATGTGTCTCTCATGAATAAATAAATGAAATCTTTAAAAATAGTAATAATAAAGGCACAGATAGGGCAGCCCCAGTGGCTCAGCGGTTTAGCGCCGCCTTCAGCCCAGGGCGTGATCCTGGAGACCCGGGATCGAGCCCCACATCAGGCTCCCTGCATAGAGCCTGCTTCTCCCTCTGCCTGTGTCTCTGCCTCTCTCTCTCTCTCTGTGTCTCTCATGAATAAATAAATAAAATCTTTAAAATAAATAAATAAAGGCACAGATAAGTTAAGTCACTTGCTCAAGATCACACAGCTACTGCATGCCAGAGCAGGATTTGAATTCAAACCTGTGTTCAAGAAACCGTTTTTGAATGAATGAACAAACCCAGGGACAGGAATTTTAGCTGCACTAACATGGTCACATCCCCCAAAAAGACAAGACAGGATGTTACAGGCTAAACATTCGTGTGCCCCCAAAATTCACATGTTGAAATCCTAATCCCCAATGTAATGGTATTAGGTGGTGAAAGAGAGGCAATTAGGTCATGAGGGTGGAGCCCCCATTAATGGGATTAGTGCCCTCATAAAAGGGACCCCAGAGAGCTCCTTCACCCTTTCTGCCGAGTGAGGACACAGTGAGAACTACGAATAGTTCTTCTATGAAGGTTCAGCAGTCTATGAACCAGGAGGTGGGTCCTTTCTGGACATTGAATCTGCCAGTGCCTTGATCCTGGACTTCCTAGGTTCCAAAACCATGAGAAATAAATATATGCTGTTTAAACTATCCAATCTATGTGGGCGCCTGGGTGGCTCAGTGGTTGAACATCTGCCTTCAGCTCAGGTCATGATCCTGGGGTCCAGGCATCGAGTCCCACATGAGTCCCCCGCAGGGAGCCTACTTCTCCTTCTGCCTGTGTCCCTGCCCCTCTTTCTCTGTGCCTCTCATGAATAAATAAATAAAATATTTTTAAAAATAAATAAATAATAAAATAAACTACCAGCCTATGGTATTTTTGTTATAACAAAATAATAGGATATGGGGCAATCTCAAGGTACACAGGATACTTGAATGGATAATGCAAGAGGGGCACAGCTCAGAGCACAACAGCCATAGTTCAGACTTCCTTCCACCGTCCTCCAGAATGCCCCCCCCAGAACCCCTATTCCCAACCAGAAAGCTCAAAGCCCCACTTCTCCATCCCCTCCTCACCTGGCGGGGGCTCACAATGATGCTGTTGGATTTTGCCCCTGGTTTGGAGGCCTGATTGGGGGTCTCTCCTGTCAGGGGTTCTGGCCCGGTGGGGTGTGGAGCTCCAGCCAGTCCTGGAGGTCCCGAGATGGCATACTCTGCATAGGTCTGAGGGGCTGCCTGAACCGAGGTCTCCACAGTGGGCAGGCTCCGGGTGGATTTGAATAAGGGCTTGACCTGTGCAGGGGAGGGGAGTGTCAAAATCTAAGTCTGAGCCGCTTCTCCCCACTCCCCAGCCTCTGCACTGGTCCTGGCCACCATCTTCTCTCCCTTGGACCACCATAGTCACCTCCTCACCATCTCCCTGCCTACACCCTTACTCCCCACAGTCTGTTCACTGTCATTTCACATCCCTCTGTTCAGAACCTTGGCGGCTCCCATCTCAGAGCAAAAGCCAAAGCTGTCACTGTAGCCCACAAAACTCTAAAAGAGTCCCTGCCCCCTTGCCTCAGGGGTCTCACCTCCTACCTCTTTCCTTTTGCTTTCTCTCTTCCAGGCCCGTTGTCCTTCTTGCTTGCCCTCAACATTGTCAGGCTCTCTCTGACCCTGGGCCTTTGCACTGGCTGCCCCCTCTGCCTCTAGATGTCCTCACATAGCTCGCTCTTTCACCTCACTGCCAAGATGTCACCTCCTCAGAGAAGCAGTCCCTCTCTTCCATCATCCCCTATATCTTTATTAGCCCACTCTGTTGTCCTTCCTAGCCCATAGGGAGCAGCCAGTACTCAACACCAGCCAATTGTTTTCCTGTGGGAATGCGATCACAGTGTGGTCAGATCCTTCAATTTACCAAAAGATGTCAAAAGGCAGACTTTTTTTTTTTTTTAATTGCAAAGCCTTCCAATTCTCCAATGTCAGCAACAAATTCATGCTTTGCAAGGCAGGGTGCTGGCCACAGAAAACACATGCCAAGGCCATAGGCTGCTTGCCGGAGCCCCCTCTTGGAATCACCATGACATGTGACAGACAGGGAAACAGACTTGCGGAGAGCAAAGGTGTTTTCCCAAGGTGACCCAGGCCACATTTCCTAACCCACACGGCGGCCACCGGACCGGACCCTTCTTCTCAATCACCCCCTACCTCCCAGCGTTCTCCCCATCTCCTCGTCCTACCCCTACAGGAGGGGCCTCATCCTCGCCCAGTGGTATGAAGAATTTCTTCCTCGTGGGTGGCTCGGCGGGGGGCCGCACTGCGTCTCCGTCCATCCCAGGGTTCTTCTGGGGCCTGAAGATGAAGACATGGCGGCGGGAGCGAGTGAGACACCAGTGTCTGCCTTCCCATCCTCCCCGCAGGAACCCCCACTCACTGCCATCCCGCCCTCAAAACCCCAGGGCTCCACAGAGCATCAAGTTGCAAAGAGCCGGTGCCCCAGATTTTTAAGGCCCCGCCCACAAGGAGCCGCCACCTCCAGCTCGCCCCGCCCCTTACCGTCCAGACTTTTCATTAGCGCCGCCCCTCAAGCACCCCACGTCCTATCCACCCCGCCCTCACGGTTCCCCGCCTTGGGTTTGCCCAGTCCAGCCTCCGTCCCCTCCGCCCCGCCTCCAGGCTCGCACCTGATACCCTCCGCTCGCCCCATCTCGTCCATCTCTCAGACCCTGCGACAACTGATTGGCTTCTGCGGGTGCCAGTCGCCTCCCCTCCCGCCCCCCGCCCGTCCGCCCCTCACGACCCAGCCCCGCCGTCGGAGCGCCGGGAGAACTCACCTCCTTGCCCCCGAGCCGGGAGCGGAAGACCGGAGAGACAGCGAGGCGACCCACCGCCGACGCGGCCAGCGCGTCCCCGGGCTCGCCGCACTTCCGGCCTCTCTAGCCCTCGATCCCGCCCTCCTCGTTCCCCAGACGGGTAGAGCTTCGAGAGGGGCGGTCCCCGCGCCGCTCTCTATGGTCCTGGAGGACTGCGGCGGTTTGGGTGGGAGAGAGCCGCGGACCTACCCCCTGGTCGTCTCTGGTTGTCAAGAAGTTCCATTTGGATGCTCTTTTTTTTTTTTTTTTAAGATTTTTCTTTAATTTACTCATGAGAGCCAGAGAGAGGCAAAGACATAGGCAGAGAGAAGCAGGCTCCCTGCGGGGAGTTTGAAGCGGGACTCGAACCCAGGACCCTGGGATCAAGACCTGAGCCCAAGGCAGACGTTCAACCACTGAATCACCCAGGCGTCCCTGGATGTCCTTATTAAGCACCTCCTTGTGCTCGACCTCTGGACAGGACTCAGTGTGGGGGTGGGGAGTGTGGGAGGGGTGGAAGGAGATCAAATCGGGTTCCTCCTCTAAGCCCAGGCTCGGGTTGGCATCCCAGCTCTGCCATTGGCTTGGCCTCGGCGTCCGCATTCATTCATTCTTGCATTCCACACGCATTCCCCCAGCGCCGCCTCTGTTCCCCGCCCTGTGCGGGGCAGTGCTGGCGACTCAGCGGTGACCGTTGATTGACAACCATAGCGCCCTCCTGTCCTCCTGGAGGGGTCCCCGTCCAGTGGTCCAGTGGGAGAGACAGACTGGTTCCCCAACAGTGACCACCCGGAGAGGGCAAGGCTGGAATGGGAGACCCCACGATGGCCGGGGAGAGGGGAGAGGCCGCCCAGCCCAGCCCCAGGGTAGGGAAGGGCTTCCTGGAGGAAGGGACATCTGAGCAGAGACCTGGTCGATGAGTTAGTATTAGTCATTTCCTGAAAGAACAGTATCACACTGTTCTAACTTGCGGCTCTCTGGTTACTAAGGAGAGAGAACATCTTTTTTTTAGTTTATTGGTCTTAGGTAGTTTGTCTTCTGTGGATGGCTTGCTCATATCCTTTGCCCAGTTTTTTAAATGGGGTTGTATGCCTTTTTTTTTCTTTTTCTTTCTTTTTTTTTTTTTTTGTTAGTATTTATTTGCAAGGATACTTTACGGATTCCGATTCTAATTCTTAGTTGTGTGTATTTCCAGTGTTCCCTCCTAGTCTGTACTTTGTACTTTAACTATTTATGTCACAGAGAAATTCTTAGTGTTTATTCACACCACTTATCAGTCTGTTCATCCTGACTTTGGCTTTTGGTGTATTATTTGAGTCCTGCAGTACCCCAAGGTCATAAATATATCCTGTAATTACTTTTAGTACTTTCCGACTCTGGATTTTGTTTGTCTTTAATCTATACAAGACTTATTTTTGAAACTGCACTATGGCAGGAATTTATGATGAATGTAGCCAATTGTCCTCAAACCATTTATTTTAAAAATCAATCTTTTCCCTAGTTTTGATGAACCAAATTCTCATATACAGGCATCTATTTCTGACATTTCTATTAAAGTGGGGGTTTTGGTTTTGTTTTTTTAGATTTTATTTATTTATTCATGAGAGACCCAGAGAGAGAAGCAGGGACATGGGCACAGGGAGAAGCAGGCTCCCTGTCTGACTCCATCCCAGGAACCCAGGACCATGAGCTGAGCCATGGGGCCCCTCTATTAAGTTTTATTAATCTCTATATCTGTTCCTTGCCTCCATGCTACACTGGTTTTTTTTTTTTCATGTTGCCCTGTTCAAAGATTTTATTTGGATATGTTTTGTGATCACAGCAGGCAAGTCTCCTCTCTGTTCAGTTTCAAATCTGCCTTTACCATTCTTCCAACCTTTTCTCTTCTAGATGGATTTTAGCAGCTGTTTTTCCACTTCCATTAAGAATCCTACTGAGATTGATATTGGAGTTTCAATGAATTGATGGGTTAATTAAAAGAAGTTTGATTTCTATTTTTAAGATTTTATTTATTTATTTGACATACAGGGGGAGAGAGAGAGAGAGAGAGAGAGAGAGAGAGAGCACAAGCAGGGGGAACAGCAGAGGGAGAGGGAGAAGCAGGCTCTCCACCTAGCAGGGAGCCCAATGCAGGACTGGATCCCAGGACCCTGGTCATGAGCTGAGCTGAAAGCAGACACTTAACCGATTGAGCCACCCAGGCACCCTAACATCTTTTTCATATACATGAATATACGGATTGCCTTTATCTCTCCAATGATTCCAGCTTTTGTTAGGAGCCTACTATTAAAAGTTTTTTGTAAATAATTTTTATTTGCACAACTGATTCATAAATACATTTTTGTACTAGTCTTCTAGGAGAGCTATAACAAAGTACCCAGGGACACCTGAGTGGCTCATTGGTTGAGTGTCTGCCTTTGGCTCAGGTACGGATCCCAGGATGCTGGGATCAAGTCCCACATGGGGCTCCTTGCAGGGAGCCTGCTTCTCCCTCTACTATGTCTCTGCCTCTCTCTGTGTCTCTCATGAATAAAGAAAATCTTTAAAACAAAAACAAAGTACCCAAACCTGGGTGACTTAGGTCCCAAAAATGAATTGTCTCATGGTTCTAGAGGCTAGAGGTCCAAAGCCAAGGTGTTGACAGGGCTGTGTTCCCTCCGAATGCACAAGGGAAGGATCTGTTGCGGGCCCCTCTCTTAGCTGCTGGTAGTGTCAGGAGTTTCTTGACTTATAGAGGACCACCTTCTCCCTGTGTGGTGGTCTTTTCTCTGTGTGTGTCTATCTCTGTGTCTAAACTCCCCTGTTTAATAAAGACACCAGTCATATTGGATTGGGGCCCATGCTAATGACCTCATTTTAATTTGATTATCTCTGTAAAGACCTTATTTCCAAATAAGGTCACAATTTGAAGTACCATGGTTAGGACTCCAACGTATCTTTTTTGGAGGACAGGAGTTAACCCACAATTCTGTTACTTTTTATAAACTTCTTCCTTCTAGATTCATTTGACTACTTGCTACAGAGTCTATTCACTTCTAATTCTTTCAGAGAGCATCCTGGCTAATCATGTTCTGAGTCTTGCTCATCTCAAAATGCCTTCGTTTCATCCTCACAATTGGAATCTCCTTGGGGCACCTGGGAGGGTCAATTGGTAGAGTGTGTGACTCTTGATCTTGGGGTGGTGAATTTGAACCCCGTGTTGGGTGCAGAAGTTACTTAAAAATAAATGAAATAAACTTTAAAAATAAATAAGATGGGCAGGGCACTTGGGTGGCTCAGTGGTTGAGCTTCTGCCCTGGCTCAGGTCGTGATCCCGGAGTCCTGGGATCGAGTCCCACATGGGGCTCCCCGCGGGGAGCCTGCTTCTCCCTCTGCCTATGTCTCTGCCTCTGTGTGTGTGTCTCTTATGAATAAATTAATAAAATATTAAATGAATAAATAAATAAATAACCATAACCAAGTCCTGGCCAGCAGGGGCTGGAGCTATTTGGACCACTGTTGTATCACAGTGGGCCTTCTTATGCTGTCCCCCTTTCCCCCCCCACCTCCCACTCCCCACCCTCCACCCCTAAGCGCTTGGCAACCAGAATAGGCTACCAAACTTTGTATTGTGTGAATGAACAGAGAACAGAGGCCGAGTGCTACAGCAAGCAACTGCACTGCTGGGAGTCTCAGTTTCCCCATCTGTAACTACTGAGGACTCAGTAGGACCACAGAGAACTGTATTGAGATGGATGGTTCGGGATCCCTGGGTGGCGCAGCGGTTTGGCGCCTGCCTTTGGCCCAGGGCGCGATCCTGTCGACCCGGGATCGAGTCCCACGTCGGGCTCCCGGTGCTTGGAGCCTGCTTCTCCCTCTCCCTCTGCCTATGTCTCTGCCTCTGTGTGTGTGTGTGACTATCATAAATAAAATTTAAAAAAATTTAAAAAAAAGAGATGGATGGTTCACTCATTCCTTAAATAACTATATATGGAGCACCTACTATGTGCCAGGCACTGGGGACATAGCTGTGACCAAATCAGCCCAAGTCCCTGCCCTGTGGAGCTGGTGGTCTCATGGAGGAGACACACCATGAGAAAGAAGCACACAAGGGCACCTGGGTGGCTCAGTTCATTAAGTGTCTGCCTTCAGCTCAGGTCTCAGAGTCCTGAGATCAGGTTCTGCATCTGGTTCCCTGCTCAGTGAGGAGTCAGCTTCTCCCTCTCCCTCTGCCTGCCGCTTCCCCTGCTTGTGAGCTCTCTCTCTCTCTCAAATAAATAATTTTTAAAAGATTTTATTTATTTATTCATGAGAGACAGGGAGAGAGCGAGAGAGGCATAGACAAAGGTAGAGGGAGAAGCAGGCTCCATGCAGGGAACCCGATACAGGACTCCATCCCAGGACCCCGGGACCACGACCTGAGCCAAAGGCAGATGCTCCACCGCTAAGCCACCCAGGCGTCCCAATAAATAATTTTTTAAAGATTTTATTTATTTATTTATTTATTTATTTATTTATTTA